TTCTAAGAAACAGGAAACATCAGTAATTACTAGGGCCTTGGAAAAGGGGAGCTAACTCCCAAAGGGAGAATAAAATATCTTAATCATGATTACACTATACGCTTCTCAAATTTTGTAGAATTGTAAAGTGAAGTAATTACCATTTTTTAAATATCTTATAAAATGGTTGGATCTGGAAACAACAACAAAGTATTACATAGCAGGCTACAATGCTGGGATAGAAGCTCTATCTTATGAGTCTTTCAAATCACTGGGATACCTATTATCAGCGTTGCATTTTAACTTTCAAAGAGTTTATTTTTATATACAAATGCCTAAGTGCCAGTGGGTACCCATGGGGGCCAGAAGAGGATACTAGATCCCCTGGAGTTGGAGTTACTTAATGCGCAGTTGTGAGCCATCAGATCTGAGTGCTAGAAACTGAACTTGGGTCCCCCTGCAAAAGCAGCAAACAGGGATGAGGAATCAATCCCTCCAGCCTTTTGATGTTGTTTAAAGGACACCTCTCACTATGTAGCTCAGGTTGGCCTTGGTCTCCTAAGTACTGGAATAGTAAGTACACATGCCACCATGTCCAGCTACCCTTGGCTTTCATACCTCACTATGTCTAATGGCTGATCTGACATTCATAACTGACCTCTGCCTTGACATTTGCTCACTGGCACCAATCCATTCCTTTACTTTTGGACCTTGCTATTAATTCCTTTAATCACTGATTTACCTGAACTTTGTTCAAATTGCTCCTTCAACTACACTTGACTATGTCCTATGCCCAGACGGCAACTGGGCTCTTAGCTACAATGACTTAAAACTACTAAGTCTACTCAAATATGTCAGAAACAGTAAACTTGAAAGCATCATTTACAAACTCCTGTGGAGGTTTTTCCTACTCCAATAAACAGGATGTCTTCCTTTTTATACAACCACACTCTTGGTTACCCTTGTGTCCTGTTTTCTCTCTGGCTATATTTAGTCCACTGTGTTTCCACAATGCAAATAACACTTATCTTTAAGACCACTATTCAGCATATACAAACTAAAGAATAAAGTATTTACAAAAAAAAATTTAGATCAATAAATTAGACAAAAATACAGAAAACAGACTTAGTGAGAAGGTATAAGTAGGTAGGTAGGTGTGTGTGTGTGTGTGCGTGCGCACGTGTGCTTCGAGACAGGGTTTCTCTGTTTGCTTTGGAGCCTGTCCTGGAACTTGCTCTGTAGACCAGGCTGGCCTCAAACTCACAGAGAACCGAGATCTGCCTGCCTCTGCCTCCCGAGTGCTGGGATTAAAGGCATGCGCCATCAATGCCTGGCTAGTTCTAACTTTTAAAGGGAATAAATAATCATTAGAATTAATACCTGATTTCTAACTTTAACGAAATTGGAAGGCCATTAGATACTTGGCTGTCAGTTTAATTTTCTTATGAACAGAAGATAAAACCCTTTCCTTCTTTAATTAAATAATATTATGGAGTAAGGTCTATTTAAAAGATGTAGGATTCATTTTGCAGTTCTTTTGGACCTAGGTTATCTCAAAATGTAGTTTAGTACAGTGGGACTGAAAAAATTCCTCCATTGGTAAGTATGTCTACCAGTCTTCAGGGAACCTTCATTCAGTTCCCAGGACTAGTATTAGGCAGCTCACACCCACCGTAACTGTAGCTTCCTGGGATCCAACACCATAAATCCTTGGCCTCCGTGTGCATCTATACTCACATGCACAAACCCATACACAAACACACACATATAACACAAAATTAAAAAAATATTTAAAAAATAGAGAATAATACTGAGAGGTAAAAGCTTTTACCTCTTGTCTCTAGTTTTGTATTCATCAAAACTTCCATTGTTTTCATTTAATTTTACAAACGAGGTTTATGATGATATGATTACTTTCACTTGGGATCTTAAAACTGGGTTTGAGTAGTAGCCATTGTTCTTATTGATTATGTTTAGAAATTAATGTCGTGAAGTTGATCTTTTAATTTCTGTGAATACAATCATTTTTATTTGCTAAAGTTTATTTTAGGGTATATGGGTGTTTTATCTGCATATAAGTCTGTTTATCACGTGTGCCTGGTGCCCCCCAGAGACCAGAAGAGACTGTTGAATTCATGTGATGTAGTGTTACAGGTTAGAAGCCTCCATATTGGTGGCTGGGAATTGAATCTAGGTCCTCTTTAAGAGCATCCAGTGCTCTTAACCTCTGAATCATCTCCCCAGCTCCTTTATGAGATTGAATGGAATTTTGCTTTAGAAGAAAATTCTATAGCTTTTAAAATGTCTTTGAAACCTCAGTGTTACTCCACTTTATAGGAGAGATAATTAAGGCCAAGGCTAAGGTACTCCTTGTTCATATTCAGTTTGGAGTTAGAGACAGCTATTCTGGTTACATTTGCTTAGCAGTTACAGAAGGCTAGATTAAACTAATTTAAAAAGGAATACTTCAGGAAGAGCTACAACCGGCTCTTCAGTTTATCATTAGGAATGTCTCTTTCCAGCCCCCAGTTCCACTCATTCATTTCCTTGACTGACTGACTTGTCTGTCTGTCTATTCCTTTTTGGAGACATGGTTTCTCTGTGATTGACCTGGTACTTGCTCTGTAGACAAGGCTTACCTTGAACTCAGAGATCTGCTTGTCTCTGCTTCCTGAGTGTTGTGATTAAAGGTGTGCACCACCTCCACCTGCCTCGATGACTTGATATTTTTTTTAAGGTCAGTTAATGACAGAGTTTGTTATTTTAGTGGCTTAATAACTTTCCCTCTGTATTGCTCCCACTCCTTCCAAGTAATCTGTGATCAGCACAGAGGCTTAGAATGAATGCTGAAAAGTAATGTTCACTTGCTTTGTAGTTGAATGCCTTTTCTATACTTGTCTTTCTTGAGGGGAGGCCAACATGTTAGATAAGTTTGGGTATTTATAAAAAAAAGTTTTGTTGATGTTGTTGTCTTGTTTGTTATATTATAGTGTTCCCTGGCATTTGAGAAGCATTTTTAAAAAATTACTCTCACCACAGTGGGAGAAAATCATGGAGCCAAGAAGGGATGGGAGTAAATTTGATTTCTGGTCTGGAATGGAGTTTTTCATCTCTTAGAGTCTTGCTAGCTCTGGTCAGCTAGTTCAAGGTCAGCCTAGTCTCCACTGCAAGCACTAGGCCAGTAAGGCTACACAATAAGACCCATCGCAAAACACAGAAACAAGCAAATTTTTAAAAAGTTAAATCAGAATCAAATGTTTATGAAATCCAATTAGTGACTTCACAGTTTTAAATTATTTCTTGTCTTTTAAACTGATTCATATGCTATGAAAATTGCTGGATGGTCCTACACAATTTTAAATCCTATAGCACTTGGGAAGGGAAGCAGATGCAGGCAGATCTCTGTGAATTTGAGTCCAGATTCATCTACATAGCAAGTTCTAGGCCAGTCAGGCCTATATAGTAAGAGTCTGTCTTTAAAAAGGAAGGAGGAAAAAAAAAAGTAAGGGATATTAAAAAAATAACTAGTTCTTTTCTTTTTTTTAAGACAAGCCTATTTCAAAGAAAAGAAATTTTTCATTATCATTTCCTACTCACAATGCTAGAGTTACGAGCATAAATAAAAAGTAAAAAAGTAAGACTATTATAACCATCTTTTACATCGTAATGAATCCTCTGGGAGAGCAAATCCTCAAAAGTGCTGCTTGGGAGTGTGGGCTTCAAGAAAAAAATGAAGATACAGTATGCTTATCAACAGGCATGCCTCCTCAAAGACACTGCACAATCAACTAGGGTTCAGCAGTGAACAAGATAAACATGATTCAAAATTTTAGACTCTATAGATAAATAATGAAGAGTAATGACTAAGGTATGGGGTCAGCATTTCTCAAAGACTGCTGGCTGTCTTTGTGAAAGATCTTGTAAACACAGACAGCAAGCCCTAAAACACAGACCAGTTTAGGAGCTGATGTAACCTAACAGTGGCTACAGTGAGAAAAGTAGTACCAGAGCTCAATCTTGAAGGATAACCAATACTAAGCCAAAGGAGGACTATGTGAAAGACATGCTCGGGAAACAACCTTCACAGTAAGCCATGAATGAGCTAAACTACAACTGAAATTGAAAAGGATATCTTCCTAACAAAGAACAGACACATAACCACTAAATAAGAACATTATCTTGCCAACAGGCACAACTGGCTCACAGTACAAATCTAGCTATTTATGCTGACAACCAACTATGATCCAACCTAGCAATCTAAGCTGTAGAAAAGAACTGACTCTACCAAGCTGTAGCTACTACTGCTGCACAGTGACTAAACGGGGGAGGTGGCTCCCTCTGGTTGAAACCCTGAAACTGGAATTCTATCAGGAGCTAGATAATAAAGCAATTACTAGAATAGAGTAGAAAGAAACTTTTATTCAAGTATTTTTCTACTTGCCAAGTGCACAGTTCTACCCCAGATAGTAACAGCTAAACCACTACGTTCCTAACAAGCAGCTCAAAATCATATTACATTCTAAGATTCCACACACAACACTGAGAAAACAACCAAGCAAAAGCTAGATAAACTGTCAATGACAAGCTCTAAATGGCTTCTTTATTACTTTAAAGGAGCTCTCAAGCTTGGGGGTGGGGGACTCGGGTGCCTGGGGTGACAAAGCACTCAATCACAGCAGTCAGGAGGCAGAGGCAGGTAGATCTCTGTAAAATATATATATATATACATATATACATATATATACATATACATGCACATACACATACATACATACATACATACATATATATATATATATATATATATATATATGGTGAGACCCTGTCTCAAACAAACAAGCAAACAAACAAATAAATAAATAAATTTTTAGGGGGAGCTGGTCCTTAACACATATCGCCTAAGCCAGAGTAAGCAGGAGTACTTGCTGTTTCACAAAAAAAGTCCTGATCAATGAACTAAATAAGGTTTTGATACATATGTGCCAAGAGACATATCACTTCAATTTAAGAAAATGTCCTACCTTTCCGGGGTCATCCTTGGATCGAGGCACTTTAAGGAAACATTTGTTCAGTGACAGATTATGTCGTATGGAATTCTGAAATTAAAGAAGAAAACCATTGTTGGGTCAATGAACTGTTTTTAAAAAAAAAACCTACTCCATCTTTAAAAACAAAGAAATCTTTGTATTTCTATGAATTGGAATACAGTTACAAATAGAGCTAACTTTTAAAATGTGCTCCAGGGACTGGAAAGTTGGCTTACTGGATAAGTGTTTGTACTGCACTTGCAGAAGACCGCAGTTTGATTCTCACCACCCAAATCAGGCAACTCACAAACAACTATAACTCCTGCTTCAGAGAATCCTATGCCCTGTTCTGGTCTCCAAGAGCACCTATCCCCACATGCACACACCTATACAAACTCACACAAGTACACATAAATTTACAATAAATGTTAAGTAAATGAGTATCAAAGTTAAACCTTTCTGGTTTTCAAGTTAGATATAGCATATTGTAAATGAAAACAGGTTGCTGGAATTGATTCTTAGCAGATTTGATAACAATCTATATGCATTATGTAGCATTTAATTATTATGAACTTTATTGATATAGAAAGATGCCTATGATGCAATGCTAAACAATAAATATCAAACACAAAGAAAAGTGTGTATGTATCATGTTTTAACTGTGTGCAAAATTTATTTTATTTATGTGAGTGTTTTTACCTGCCCTTAATGTCTGTACACCACATTCATGCATGGCTGGCGCATACAGAAGCCAGAAGAGGACATCAGATATCCTGGAACTGGAGTTACAGAAGATGGTTTTGAGCCACCATGTAGGTACTGGGAACTGAACCCAGATCATCTGGAAGAACACCAAGTGTTCTTAACCTCTGAGTCATAATTTCAACCCCTTAACTGTGGTTGTTTACGTGTTTATTTATTCTTGGAAATAAATCAGAGCTAAATGTTAGAAGCTACTCTTCATAGGCTTTTAGGTGACAACTATGTTCTTTTTACTTTCCTACAAGGTACAAATCGTTTATGATGTACATATATTACCACTTTTAAGTGAGTTTCTTAAAGTGTTAAAAGGCACCAAAGATATATAGCACAAGAAGAGGGAAAGCACTTGTTCTGCATGCACACCGTCAGATTCACTCTCCAGCACTGTGACAAAACCAAGTTTAAAAACTACACTGCGCTGTAAGCAAACTCAGAATCAGAACGTTTTTAGGAGAAAACAAACTAGCATATGGTAAATACATAGTTCTGGACCTTAAATAAATTAGGCAAATACAGATATCATTTAAATGATAATATTGCGGCTTTCACAAGCAGCTACAGCCATCTTGGAATAATGTTTTCTGAAAAAGATGTAAGCACACCAGTTTACCTGGATCTATATGAACTGAGGCCTTTTCTTTTACTTTGAAAAGTTATTTTTTAACTAAGCAGCTAATTATTAAAAATATATGTAGCAGATAATCATTTTAAATATAGGTAAAAGAATATCTCTGGTGACTTATTGTTCTTTATTATTGGGAAAGTTACACCAAAAAAGTGACATCTATTTCTTATTTATTTAACTTATATATGCACACATGTGTATGCATGTGTGGAAGTCAGATGACAGCTTGTGGGAGCCAGCTCTCGTTTGCCATCATATAGGACCCATAGATGGAAGTCAGGTCAACAAGCTTGGTAGTCAAAAGCCTTTACTCACAAAGCCCTTCAGGGCTGTTTGTTTGTTGAAAGAGGACAGGAATGAGAAAGACTAACAGAGGTGGTGAATATGAAGAGAGTACATATATGTATGGACAGAAGTATAATGACACCCCTATTCTGTAATACACAAATAAAAATGAAAGAAAATAACAATTTTCTGAAACAAAAACACTCTATTACAAAGGCATATGGGAAAAAGGTCCTAGTTGTAATAGGAAAAACTACATGGAAAGATACTGGGCCAGTGGGTTGTTAAAACAAGAGGAGGACGAGGACACAAGGGTGAAGGTGGAAGAGGGTCTGGGAGGAGGAGAGGAGGAAAGAGTGTAGCATGAACAAGATCAGGATACATTAAAATGTCAAAAAAAAAAAAAAACACATAGTAAGATAAAACTATGCAGGGTACAGAAGGCCAGGAAAAGATCTAAATTCCTCAATACAGCAGATAAGAACCACCAACTTAGGTGACAGAAAAACATCTTTATAGAATTGGAGTGTCTGTGAAGCAATCTATTACTGAATAAATGGGACTGAACGACTCAACACAAAATACCACAAAGACCCCTTTTTCCCAACTAAATGCTCCAAAATCCATTCCCAAATAACTTTTATCTGTTTATCCTCAAATGGCCAAATATTTAGTAGAGAGGGGCTCCAACTACATTTAGCCACTACTTAAAATGGTTATCTTTGGAGGTCATATTTGTTGGCATAAGTTCTATTTATTATAAAAGTCTGAAGTCTATTCAGAGTACTTGGCCCTAAATGGGGAAACTATATTATACTCCTTTCCTCAAGACTCAGGATCTATGCAAAAAAAAGGACAAAAAGATCATAAGAACCAAAGGTGGTAAATGATTTAAGGAAAATGTTTTCCAGACAGAACAGCACAGATGCGGCACATATGAACTCAGGGATTTTGACAGCTTGCACAGACCCACAAAAGCCAAAGCCAGACAAAATCCCAGCAAGGAGAAGAGGTCAACCAAGTGTCACCCTTAGCTAAGGAGCTACTGACATCTCATTGTTGTGAGAAGGGAAAGTCAGTATTCTTCAATGGAGTGACACCTAGTATATGGACCACACTGTAAGGCAGATTCCATGTCCAAGAGTAGTCAGACAACTCAAACTGGATTCAACTGGTTTTTAAATTAAGGGAAGAGGATAATGCTGAGTGAGTAGGAAGATAGATGATGGCGACGAATGTGTTCAAAATAGATCGTAACAAATTCTCAAAGAAAAAATATTTTGAAAAACTCTTTAAGAATGAATAGAGTAGAACTTTCCTCTCCAAAACTTATCTATACAGATTATAACATCTCAAAATATTTTCTCAAAAATGTATTTTATACATTTTTATCAAGAGATGTATACAGACCATATTTTGAAACCCATCTCACTACCATACTATAAATTTACCATCTAAAAATGGTAATTCTACCTCTGCTTGGAATATAAGCAACTACAAAGAACATTTCATCTCTAACAATGGCAAAATCCTAGGACATTTTTTAAAAAGTCAATTATTTTAGAACTGTATCAGATCTCAGATCACAAGGCATCTAATGAGACTGGGGGGTAGATAGGATCATATTTCATTGTATACATGTATAAAATTCTACACAACAAAAATTTTAAAAATGCATTCTTAAGAACAAGGCTATTCCAGGGAAACTGAATGTGTGCACTGCCTCACCTTTAGGAGAGCTTGACAAGTTGACTACCATCAAGCAGGTCCTAGGTAACCTGCTTTAAAATTTATGTTTCTCTATGTAGCCCTGGCTATCCTGAAACTCACCATGTAGACCAGGCTGGCCTCAAACTCAGAGATCCACCTGCTTTTGCCTCCCAGAGTGCTGGGATTAAAGGTATGCATAACCACCACCCAGCCATATATAGGTGTTTGTTTTGGTTTGGTTTTCCCTTTGTAAGTATGAGGCGATGGCAACTAAATCTCTCCTCCATAGGACTCTAGCAAGGCTTCATTACTTCTGGGGGAAGAATGGAAATGAAACAGCTCTACTTTCTATAGCGACAGGAAACCCTTCACCAGGAAAAATCTACTGTTACTATGGGAAAAAGCAGGCACAAACTCCTTTTCCTCTGGAAGAGGGATAAGCTGCTGCCCTGCATTCTAAGTAAGAATGGACACTGACACTATACAGATGGGTCTGTTAAATCTCAGGAAGGAACAGATTCCCATCCAAAAGCAGCTATAACTATAAGGCTACTCTGGCTTGAACTAGAGGAATACTGAATAACCACAGCAGTCTGGTAACAGAGGAGGACAAAAAGATTTGAATGATTCTCCTACCTGTAAATAGTCAAAGTATGTCTAAACACCTAAAATTTAAAAGGATGAGAAAATGGGTAAGGGGGAAAATTCTATAGCATACAACCGACTTGTTGAAGTACAACAGGAAAACACTGCCAGCACTTAAACTCAGCTCACCTACTAAGACTGACTGAGCCTGTCATAAATAGACTGAGGAAAGGAAAAGGTGCTTGTCCATTTACAAATAAATACACTACTTCACTCTTTATCATTCTTCTACATATCTACCTGGTATTCAAAGAGTATGTGAGAGAAGAGCAAGAAAAATATCACTATCAAGAGACAAAGAAGGAGCTGAAGGGTTGGCTCAGTGGTTAAGGGCACTGGCTGCTCTTCCAGAGGACCCAGGTTCAATTTCCAACACCCACATGACAGCTCACAACTGTCTGTAACTCCAGTTCTGGGGGACCTGACACTTTCCCACCAATGCACACACAAAACAAATTTAAATAATCATTTTAAAAAAGAGACAAACTAATCAACACAACACAACTAAGAGAGAAATTAACTTTTACAATTTCAAAACAAATTCTAATTATGGGATCCAGTGGAAAATGAAATAAGCAATTTAGAGGTGAAGAATTTTAACAGAGATCTCGAAACCCTAATAAACAAACATAAATGATAAAATAAAAACAGAAACACCACGGGGTGTATAGCTCAGAAAAAGAAGCCTTCAGCACACAGTAGGCATGGTTGGGTTCGCTCCCCAACAATGCCACCCCCAAAAGATAAAAAGAATCCTTCAGATAGGTTTATAAATAAATTATACATGCTAGAAAAGGGCCTGGGAAACTTGAGGACAGATCAGTAAATGTTTTCCCAACATAACCAGCATGTGCCCACAGACTTGAAACGAACAAAAACAATTCTTAAAATACTCCTGGGACGGGGGGGGGGGGGGGGGGGGAAATTGAGCAAAAGGAAAATTCAAACAAACAGAAATCTTATAAAGCAACACCAGATACCTGTATGTCACAAGATATCACACAAAATTTAAAAAACAAACAACAAAAACTATACTAAGGGC